CTTCAAGCATCGCAGTTAGCAACACATTGTCGTGCGGTGATATTAACTGTAACGCCGCTGCAAGCGCCAAGAAGCAGCACATCTCTTCTGAGCTCAGCATGCCTCAGTGAGGCACGAACGCTTTTCAAACTGTCCAAATCCGTCGGCCAAATGCTGCTGAAACTTCTTCCTTGTAATTGCTCGTCTATGGGAAATAGCCAGAGGTGAGGTGAATAAATATTCATGAACGCGAACGATTTTCATGTTGTTTTTACGACTGCATTCAACTCGAGAATTTAGTTATAATATTTTCCTCAAACTATATACAGATAGATATCCTTCATCAACCTCAATTTTACTTCACACAGTTTATCTATCAAATAAAATAATGAACAATTCTCTTATTACTCATTCAAACTTTTATACGAGCCAGGATATCAGAACTTACTCATGTAAAAAGTTCCACAAATTGAGTTCATCAACCTATTCATATTAATTATCATCTGTTTCTCACTCAATGTAACTGCTTCGTTTTGGTCCGCATTTCATATCAATTTCAGTCTATTTCAAAAATCATAATATAATAATGTACCTATGCATTCATTTATTGGCTATCTTACGTCGCCATTTAAAAATTTGCTATTAACTGCAACATGCGAAAAGTCACTTCGAGTGCGTTTCAAGTTCTGAGTAAATGTGCATCATACTGATTGCACCATGCTGTTATATTGAACTAGATCATGTTACAAGCGAGCGATGAACAATGAGCATTACTCTAAACTTAAGATTGATTCATCGTGAAGCAACGTCCACTGATTCAAGATTATGAACGTTTAAGAATAATTCCAGATCAAATTCTGACTTGTAGTTTAAAATTTGTTGCATGCATTGATATTTAGTGAGATGTGGAATGCTCTACGGAATTTTATCGATCATCTTGAACTTGAGGCAGGGAAACGCTTTCCTCTTATCGATTTACTCTGTACGAAAGGAACTCTCATCTGGCAGGCATGAATTTTCATGGATTATCGCTGGGAGTTTATAGTTTGACGCATCATCCCTTGAGGTGAAACAGATATCCTTTTCGCTCATTTGAAAAGTTTACTGTTTTTTGATTGATTCACTGTTCTATGTTGAAGCCGAAAACTTATTCTGTCTGCTAAAATCAAGAAAACATAAGGGTGCCAATGAGATTCGAATATAATAATGCGATGTAGTACTGCTTAAATTCCCATTAATTTCCATATTATTGATCCACAAAGGATCAAATATACAAGTTTAAACAGTATAATGAAATTCTACTAAAACAGAGATCCTTCCTAAATGCAGATATACCTCAGAAAGTGAAAATATTTCGCCAATTCCTTTTATAATTCTCTCGCAGCTTTGAAGCTACTCTTTGCAATCACATCATAAGGTTGCTGATAAATGTTGAACATAGTGATGATGGCTTATATGTGAAGGTTGAATAGGATAAGCATGTTGTTCGTTTGAAGTATTATTATAAATTATAATCAACTATGTTTCCTCAATAGTCAGATTTTTGTGCGAAAGTTGCATAATGAACGCTAATGATAATATTGTTAGTATTTGCTAAATATCAGTAGTATAAGTGTAGCTGTGGTTGGGAATAAAAGTTTATTTGCAGATTAGGATTTTATGCGAGATTGTTAGTAATTAACGAAATGAATTCATCATTTTATGAATCAATCATGGGATAAATAATGCTCACTCAACACTCTGCACCTGATCATGCAAAATTCATTTTCGATTCATCTGCAATATTTTAAGAATGTCGCTTGGGTGAAAATACCTCGTCAAGTGATCATCGCTAAACGAATTTAACTAAAACAAAAACAAACTTTATATTGATTGTGTTGATGAGATGGACTAAAAAATAACTGAAAATCAAGCAAAGAAATTATAATGTGAAACCGTTTTGATCGCTTAATTCTATGGTCAGTTTACATGACATTCATTTATCCAACAACTCGTCTCTTGCAAAATTGATCGAGCGAGTGTGAATGCCCTCTCAGAATGTTTTTTGATGACATTCATTGTTCGTTGCTTGTTTCGTGATACTTAGTCTCAATTTCATCGCGCCCAAACATTCATTCTATTGCCTTTGACTCTGCTTTTTGCTCAGATCTCTGCTAATGAGGATTGTTCATTGACGACAGGTATACAGGTATTTTCTTTGAGTTTAAAAACGATCAAGTTAAAATATTTCATGAGCGCGTTGATAGTTCCAAACTAGTATTTCTGGAATTCCTTTCCGTTGTTGATCAACAGCAGATCAAATGAACGATGTAATCGAATGTCATGAATTAAATTGAGGCTTTAATGTNNTATATACTTCAAGGAATACACTCCGATGTTATATACGTACTTCAATATTTTATTCTTGTTCTTCGATGAATACAATTGTTTATATGCAACTGTTTAATTGCAGCCTAGCAGTGCATAACAGTGATGGGCTGAACGTTGCACAAGGATCTGCTATTGACATTGACGATAAGTAAGTGTGTTACTATATGCTTTTTTTTCGTTGTTTTATTTGGAACGATGAAAGATATCATTGAAACGATTTGATTCATTGAGGTTGCATCAATATTTCTCTGACGTAGCGGTAGCAATCATGCATTTAGGAATGTTTCGTTTGTTGCGTCCGATCATCATCTTGAACGAGCAATAGCCTTTTTAAATTACGCCATCAATGCAGAATTACTTTTTTCAGAAATGAGTGAAAACATTCGCTTTCTCGTCAGTAATGCTGACCACAACTACTAACTATCCATTCCTTGAGAATGTTAATTTGCGTGATGTTATTGATAAATGAAAAGAAGGAGTATGAAAACTGTAACAAATATTTGAGCACAGCAAAAACATTATCATTTGATGAAGTCAAGTTCTATCTGATTCATTCCGTGATTTGATCGAAGAAAAAATAACTGA